GCCTTTCGTGGCTGTTACCCTTCTCCTCCATCTGCATCAAATCTCTGTCTCCACCATCCTTATCAGAAGGGTCCACATTTCTTCCTTGGTCGCTTCTGATCCCTCGATCGCCTTGGCACATCTCCTTTTCCATATGACCCATAGGGCCAGCTTTCTGAGTATGTAGAACCAGACCTCCTTGCCCCCCCTGACACTGTCGGGGATGTTAGTTAGGAGTAGGATATTCAGGGGGGTAACGGAGGGTGGTGGGACTGAGAAGAGGTTATTCTCTTTTTTTTTTCTTTTTAAAAAAAAAAAAAAAACAACAACCCCCTCCAGTGCTAGAGGTGCTGGTAAGAGCAAACACCGCTAGCACTGGGGGAGAGGCTCCATCTATTGGTGGGGAGCATCACCTGCTGGAAAGCGGGTCCAGTGTCCCATATACAGAGTGAAAATACAGACTGAAGTAGAGAAAACCCTGCCAGCATTGATTGCTCTGGGGTCCAGAGGATTAACTGAGCAGGTTGTATTGGGACAGGTACCTCTTCGCCCCATGTCGGGCGCCAGATATCTGTTGCTACAAACTGGTTCCTTCCTCCAAATGAGAATGTGAAAAGGGATGGAGGGGAGCTGGGAACATCTGATGCTGGCGCCCCTACATATAACCTGTTGCAGTCCTGTTTACTCCGCTCCATACCATTGCATGTCCACCATACCCAGCTGATGGGGTGGAAAGGGATCAGGAAAATCCGATGGTGGCCGTAACGGAACCTCTTGGCCCACCGTTGTCCAATCTCTGAAGCAGATCTGATAGTCTTTTTTGATCGGCTCCCGGTTGCCGTCCTGGTCGCCTTCTTCGCCTTCCTGAGCTTGGCCGCCATCCCACTTGATGGACGCGATGCGACCTCCGTTCTCGCCGCCCAGCCAGTCCCCCGAGAATTGTCGAATTTTTTGTTCTATATCTTTCTTTGTTTGGCACAGATCCAGCTGACTTTTGACCTTCTGCCATTGCGTCATAAGTTCTTGGTGTATGAATTGTTTAATCATGTCTGTCATTTCCTCCCCAGCTATGCGGACTCCCTCCATGACGTGTATACAGCGTCTCCTCCAGATCGCCCACATAACAGCTCTCCTCCCTATTTTAAACATGTTATCTTCAAAGGTACTAGATGTAGGGGAGATCCATGTCTCGCACAATATCGCCCTCCAGTCCCATGGCCAGGTCGTTCCGGTGTCCAGCAGGCTCCAAAGTCTGTCCCACCATCACCATGTAAGAACAGACCCCGGGCATTGCAAGAAAATGTGTTCTATGGTTTCTGGGATCTTACGGGATGGGAATGTCGTGTGACACGATTTGCACCACGAGAGTGCCAGTCCTTTTTGTTCCAGGTAAGTGCGATCTATTAGCCAGTCACTAGTGCGGAGGCAGCGGTGCTCTATCTGCCACTGTAGTGAGGCTAGCTTTGCAGGTTTGGCCCTTGTGAGGGAGAACAACCGAGCGGATGGCGTCGACCCCAACATTCAAATGGGATCTCCAACAGGTTTTCACAATATCTTTCAGATTTACCTTAGGGCACAGTAAACGATAGGTGGCCTTCACTGTCAGGCTGTAGAGCCTCACGTTCTGTGTCCTCGGGGTTCTGCACGCGGGGGGCCACTGCCACTCCTCCAGGTCAAAGGGGAGGTCCGTAATGCAGGTCCCCGGCTGGTATACTATGCAGTCCTTATCACGTAGCACCCGGATCTTGTACATATCAGTGTCCTGGCACCATCTCGTTACGTCCAGGGCATATTTGGTGAGTTTATTGTCATTTTCTTTGTGAAAGAGATTGATCAACATTTCATCCGTGCGTGTTGTTACAACATTTCCTACACTCTCTGGATCTCCGGGGGCCGTCACCCAGTCCCCTTCCGCCAGCTTCGGTCCCCTTCGCAGGATGCGCACCCAATCCAGGGGAATCGCGAAGATCAAACTTTCCAGGTTGTTTTTTATATTATGATAATGCTTCAGCAGCGTCCTCATCTGTGACTCTGTCTTCCAGCCCTTGTTTTCTGAGTCCCCGATGTCTTTAACTCTGGTTATGCCCCTTTTGACCCAGCTGTTCCACGGGGAGTCGGAGCTGCGGTATACCCTCCCATTTCGATCCGTGATATTTCTATTCCCGAACAGGGGTTGTCGAGCCACCTCCTCCCATCTGGTTGGCCCAGGTCTATCTGGCAATGGTAGTTGGCGCCAGGCTTTCATATAGCGGATCCAGAAATCGTCCTTTGCGAGGTTGCTGCGGACCGCATCCCGGTTCAGGTCCTGGCCCGCGCGGGAGCGTCGCGGCAAGGACCAGAAGCGGTCTTCCAGCCAGGTCAGGGGGTTTACTGTTTGAGGGGCTTGCCAGGCCATGCCAAGGGAGGTCTTGTGTGAACACCAATCTCCTGATCCACTATTCTCATCGTACGCCGGATTCGCTTTCTGAGCCCTGTGATTACGTCATATTGTTGTGTCGTGTGCGATTGGCCCAGACAAGGGCACTTCTCTTTTGTGGTGGATGGATCATGGCACTGCCACTGCATTATATGGCAATCAGCCTCTTCTGCTCCGAACTGTTTGTCTGTCCCATTTGGTGCTATGATTTTGTTATACCCTTGATTGAAAGGCTGCATTGAGGAATGCTGGCTGTTTCATTGTCCTCAGTTTGTTTGTGTAGATAACCTCTTGTTTTTTCTTTCAGGTGCCCCTGCTCCTGTGGTACCGGTAGTGCAAGGGTGCGGTCTCCTGCCCGTGCAGTGGGTATACGTAACTCCCCACCCAAGGTTTCCAAGACTCAGGTGGCAAATGCAGAATACTTCTACTCACTCACCCCTGCAGGTTGTCCTCCTGGATGTCAACCTTGTACAGAGCAGTTCCTCTGACCAACAGACTAGCTAATCTGGTTGTGTCCGGCGTCTAGGGAAGTGGCCCTGAGCAGACATACAGGAGGAGGCATTCTATACATAAATCATTGGGAAACTCTATGGCGAGTGCGACCACCCAGGGATGTCAGCAGCTTCCCCGGGCCAAGCTGGGGAGCCGAAAATCCTGGACTGTGTCATCACCTCTATTCTCAGTTCTCATGTCTTATTGACCTTGCCCTTTGGCCGAGATCCCAGTGGATTTCCTAAATTCTGAAGTGGCCATCTATGATGTCATAAATACAAGGAATCTGGACAGGAATCCAGACGGGCATTCCCGTGCCTGTGGCATAGCACAAACAAGACCTCCCTCTCCTCCCCACAATGCCCGTTCTTGCAACCCCCCCCTTTCGAGTTGCAACTATGGCGCATTGATCAGACCCTATTCACCTGGGCATGGATGCTCTCTCAGTTGCGTTGTTAGTTACGGCATTATTCAGATACCTTCTGGCAAGCATGAGCCTGGTCGCTATTGCTGCGCGAGGTCGATGCTTTCCAAGCATGAACATATCACAGGAGGCGAAGGTCGATGCTTTCCAAGCATGAACATATCACAGGAGGCGAGGGGAGGGAGGAGAACGCCAGAGATATTTGCCTTGTGTGTGTAATTTAACTGTGCTGAAACGTCACCCTCCTCCAGTTCTGCCCTTCCATATCGGTGCTGCAAAAATCAGGACTGCCAAGTGCGTTTTTGTAAGACGTTCGCTTCCATCAATCATGTTTTGTTGGCATGGTTGCTGCTTGTCAGCTTCTAGCCTATGTGTCTTTGCGGGTTGTACTGATTCATCAAGAGTGTTTGGATGACATGGTTGCTGCTCGGTAGCTTTGTGCCTGTAATGTTGAGGGTTGTTAAACTGTGCTGATCCCTAATCATGCCTTCATCCCCTTCATCCACTCAATAATTGGCTTGGCGACATGTTACCTTGGTCTCCATGTACTGTGTATAAATCACGGGCATTGTCCTTCCCTCTGTCATCCTGGGCAGTAACCAACATGCCATGTACTGGAGCGTGCAGCAAATATTTCAGCAAGCAGTGTAAGTTGTGTAACACAGCTTGTGCCCTTATTGTGTGTTTGCAAGGTATACTGCATCCCAGTCGCCCTCTGTGCCTAAATTCCTCTTGCACTCACCACCAAACTGGGTGTTCTGCTGTCATATTCCATGCTCTCTCTCTCTCTCTCTCTCTCTCTCTCTCTCTCTCTCTCTCTCTCTCTCTCTCTCTCTCTCTCTCTCTCTCTCTCCACAGAAATGCTTGTGATATGTGCCTGTTTGGCAAAGTTTTGACCCTTTTTTTTTTGTTTTTTGGAGTTTGACACTTGTAATTCTTGTGATGCTTGTGATATGTGCGTCTTTTGACACTTCTCTTTTGATTTTTCGCAGTTTGAAGTTTGAACTCTGACAGTTGTTTGCTTGTTTGTTTGTTTGGCATAATATATGTGTGTCATCACTGCGCAGGGGCCATGCTAATCTTCTCTGTATCGTTCCAATTTTGATGGATGTCCCAAAGGACAACTTTGAACACTTGTAGTGTTGGTGGTATGTGCCTTTTTTGGCTGAGCTTTGAGACGCGAAATGCTCACTCACACCACCTCTGCATCATTTACTTCAAATCATCTACTCCATTACTGAGGAAAGGAAAAAAAGAACAAGAGCATATCAATGAGCCTGGAGCCCCTTGAAACCCCTGTTTTCCAGGGGCTGATGTTCTCCCTACGGACAAAGTCAAACCCACATGTCTTTTTTTTGGAGGAACGTCATGTTGGGTTTGGGAGGGTAGCACAGATGGCTTCTGCTTGCACACGTGGGCTCAAGAAATTCTGCAGTGAATGAAAGTTCACTATATCTTACTTGGTTTGAGGATAGGAGGGCTCCGCTATCGTCAGATGTCCTGGTGACGCAGTAGAAGTTATGGCCAGCAGACAAACACACACGCACGAGAGAGAGAGAGAGAGAGAGAGAGAGAGAGAGAGAGAGAGAGAGAGAGAGAGAGAGAGAGAGAGAGAGAGAAGGGGAGGGGCAGGCAGGCTGGCAGGCAGGCCTACTTAGGGGAGAGAAAGAGGGTAATGTAGGCACTAACATGTTGCAACCCAATGGGAAAAGCAAACTTCTTCCAGCATCATCTTCTACAGAGGTAACACCTTCTGCTTCCCTCTGTGAAGAATGAGAAGTGACAGAAGATTTGACAAGGGGAGGCAACAGCTGTCAGGTTATCTATGAGGCGAAGTGCATTTTGACTGCAGCTCCTCACTCTCCTGGTCTCAAACACCCTGAATTCATGTGTCCCAATCTGTCGGTCTCTCACTTTGGCCATAAGACATCAGACACACAAACACGTCAAGTAGTGCCCTCTCCACATTCTTTCTCACTCTTGCCAACACACATCAGACACACAAGTAGCGTTCAGAAAACATAATATACAGAGCAGATATAAATGTTGTGATGAACACATGGTTGTTATGCACACAGGGAGAAAATATACAGGTTACAATGCACAAGTGCAGGGAGCCTTGTGGTTGGTGAAATCTTACAACTATCAGTTCTTTCTTGGCACCAAACCACTGCCTGAGTGTCCTGTTCTTTTTCACTTCTTTTGATCCTGTTTTTTGTTCACTATGCCAGGGACAATGTTCCGTGTTGATTTATCTGCCTGGGGTGGCACTACTGGAGAAGTCCCATCAACAGATATACACCATACACCATAGGTAATGAAGAGACAATCATACCCATTGACCTGAACAATCTGAGTGTCCATGTACTCACCGAGCGTGGCTGTCATGTCTGCGAGGGGAGCTTCCTAGGACATGTCCACAAACTGTGGCCGCGATCTAACATCTATGTCCTCCTACCTCCCTGTTCCTCACCATTCTCCCTCCCCAATTCCTGGAGAAATCCCATCAACAGATATACACCATACATTATAGGTACTGAAGACACAATCATACCCAGTGACCTGAAGAATCTGAGTGTCCATGTACTCACCGAACGTGGCTGTCATGTCAGTGATGCTTCCTAGGACATATCCACAAACTGTAGCTGGAATCTAGCATCTATGCCCTCCCACCTCCCTGTTCCTCACCGTTCTCCCTCCCCAATCCTCCACATTATCTCTCCTCTCTCTCTCGCTCTCATATTTCTCGCTCATCTCCCTCCCATGCTCCATCTCTATTTCCCTCGTGCCTCTCTCTCTCTCTCTCTCTCTCTCTCTCTCTCTCTCTCTCTCTCTCTCTCTCTGTTTTTGCTTTATCTCTGCCATCTCTCCCATCCCGGTTTCTTCCAAACTCTGCTCTCCCATCTTCCCATTCTTGGATTGCGGCCATTGCCCTCATTCCCGCCTCTCTCTCTNAGAGAGAGAGAGAGAGAGAGAGAGAGAGAGAGAGAGAGAGAGAGAGAGAGAGAGAGAGAGAGAGAGAGAGGCTATGACAAATGTGTAAGCAGTCTTAGGAAATTGAAGTATGTAAGGTAGCTTTCACAAAGTGCATAAACCCACACATTATTTTCGTTTTTGTTGCAGATATCGACAGAGGTGACAGTTGGCCTCACTTTTTTGGGGTGCACTGCCTCTTCATGCAATTGGCTGTGACTTCTTTCATCGAGAAGTGTTGGAATTCACATCAATGAGGGGAAAGAAAAGAATACTGGGGGCAACAAGCTGCCCTTAAACACTTTCTTTTTCTTTCTTTAGAAAAAATCCTGCTGGGGGGTACTGTCGTGTGCGATACGAGCATCCCCAACAGTGCCTTCCTCGTAGGAAGCTCCATCTATTGGTGGGGGGTGTCATGTGTGATACGAGCATCCCCAACAGTGCCCTCCCTGTAGGAAGCTCCATCTATTGGTGGGGAGTGACACCTTCTGGAAAACGGGTCCAGCTGACTCCAACGTCCATTACCCGGCTTCAGCTCTTGGTAAACCTCAAAAGGACAGCTTGGGAAGTGACTGTGACTTCCCCGGGGGGCACCGGCGAGGTCTTGCTACTTCCCCTATGGGAGAATATCTCAGAGTGAGTCTACAGAGTTTTGAATGACAGAGTATTCAGGAAGAGATTTCAGATGGGGTCAGGGCGTTGGGGTAGGGATTTCAGAAGGACGGATGTGAGTTGCAGCAAATACAGAGATTCGACCCTACACCAGCCCACCCCTCCAACCAATTTGGCCGAATGAAGTCCAGATGGATAAAATGCTAACATGCAATCACTTGTTGTTTTCTGCCGCCTGTGACCCGTCGACCCGAGGCTGTAACATGGGTAGGTGAGAGACCTGCCTGTAAGGAAAGTTCGTGAGGGACCTAACTTTAAATTCGGGAAAATTTAGCCCCGCACTGAGTAGGATCTCCAACAGCTACCCTAACTGCGAATAGCAGGCCTGGGCTACCCTTAGGACAGACAGGCCCTATGGCCTAAGCTGATAAACGGTCCTATAGCCTATAGCCGGGTAGGGAGCGGCCCTATAGGCCGAAACTGAAACGGTACCGGTTGGTCCAGTCAGTCTGGTCTAGGTCATGTCTAGGCTAGGGTAGACTATGAATACAAGGGTACCTGTTGCAGCTTCGCCCGCAAGAAAATGAAGGGAAAAGGGTCCAAATGAGGGTGGGTAGGGGTTTCTTGGTCGGGTGTGGCTTTGGGTGGGGTCGGGGTGGTTTTTAGGCTCACCTGTGCATTGTTGTTGACACTGCCGATGGAATACTGATGCTGCTTTGTAAGCCTTGGATATATAACTTTTTTCGTTTTTTTTTGCTTTTTTGTCCTGTCAAACACCTGATCACAGTTTGCAATCCTTTCAGTAGTGGTTTGCTGGGTTGGTGGTTGTTCGGATTTGAACTCACCTATTGTGTGTGTGTCACACTTTGCATACCTGTCTCCCGCTAACCAAAAATATTCTTTCTCAGATGTCGGGAGATATGCAATTCTGCGATGCTGGGGGGGGGCAGGGGGGCGCAC